CTCCGCCTGTAGCAGGGGATCAGTACCGAGGAGTCCCGGCTCCGCCTGTAGCAGGGGATCAGCGCCGAGGAGTCCTGGCTCCGCCTGTAGCAGGGGGTCAGCGCCGAGGAGTCCCGGCTCCGCCTGTAGCAGGGGATCAGTACCGAGGAGTCCCGGCTCCGCCTGTAGCAGGGGATCAGTGCCGAGGAGTCCCGGCTCCGCCTGTAGCAGGGGGTCAGCGCCGAGGAGTCCCGGCTCCGCCTGTAGCAGGGGATCAGTGCCGAGGAGTCCCGGCTCCGCCTGTAGCAGGGGGTCAGCGCCGAGGAGTCCGGCTCCGCCTGTAGCAGGGGATCAGCGCCGAGGAGTCCCGGCTCCGCCTGTAGCAGGGGGTCAGCGCCGAGGAGTCCAGGCTCCGCCTGTAGCAGGGGGTCAGCGCCGAGGAGTCCCGGCTCCGCCTGTAGCAGGGGGTCAGCGCCGAGGAGTCCCGGCTCCTCCTGTAGCAGGGGATCAGTGCCGAGGAGTCCCGGCTCCGCCTGTAGCAGGGGATCAACGCCGAGGAGTCCCGGCTCCGCCTGTAGCAGGGGATCAGCGCCGAGGAGTCCCGGCTCCGCCTGTAACAGGGGATCAGCGCCGAGGAGTCCCGGCTCCGCCTGTAGCAGGGGATCAGCGCCGAGGAGTCCAGGCTCCGCCTGTAGCAGGGGATCAGTACCGAGGAGTCCCGGCTCCGCCTGTAGCAGGGGATCAGCGCCGAGGAGTCCCGGCTCCGCCTGTAGCAGGGGATCAGCGCCGAGGAGTCCAGGCTCCGCCTGTAACAGGGGATCAGCGCCGAGGAGTCCAGGCTCCGCCTGTAGCAGATCAGTACCGAGGAGTCCCGGCTCCGCCTGTAGCAGGGGATCAGTACCGAGGAGTCCCGGCTCCGCCTGTAGCAGGGGGTCAGTACCGAGGAGTCCCGGCTCCGCCTGTAGCAGGGGATCAGCGCCGAGGAGTCCCGGCTCCGCCTGTAGCAGGGGATCAGCGCCGAGGAGTCCAGGCTCCGCCTGTAGCAGGGGATCAGTACCGAGGAGTCCCGGCTCCGCCTGTAGCAGGGGATCAGCGCCGAGGAGTCCCGGCTCCGCCTGTAGCAGGGGATCAGTACCGAGGAGTCCCGGCTCCGCCTGTAGCAGGGGATCAGTGCCGAGGAGTCCCGGCTCCGCCTGTAGCAGGGGGTCAGCGCCGAGGAGTCCCGGCTCCGCCTGTAGCAGGGGGTCAGCGCCGAGGAGTCCGGCTCCGCCTGTAGCAGGGGATCAGCGCCGAGGAGTCCCGGCTCCGCCTGTAGCAGGGGATCAGCGCCGAGGAGTCCCGGCTCCGCCTGTAGCAGGGGGTCAGCGCCGAGGAGTCCCGGCTCCGCCTGTAGCAGATCAGTACCGAGGAGTCCCGGCTCCGCCTGTAACAGGGGATCAGCGCCGAGGAGTCCCGGCTCCGCCTGTAGCAGGGGATCAGCGCCGAGGAGTCCCGGCTCCGCCTGTAGCAGGGGATCAGCGCCGAGGAGTCCCGGCTCCGTCTGTAGCAGGGGGTCAGCGCCGAGGAGTCCCGGCTCCGCCTGTAGCAGGGGATCAGCGCCGAGGAGTCCCGGCTCCGTCTGTAGCAGGGGGTCAGCGCCGAGGAGTCCCGGCTCCGCCTGTAGCAGGGGATCAGCGCCGAGGAGTCCCGGCTCCGCCTGTAGCAGGGGATCAGCGCCGAGGAGTCCCGGCTCCGCCTGTAGCAGGGGGTCAGCGCCGAGGAGTCCCGGCTCCGCCTGTAGCAGGGGATCAACGCCGAGGAGTCCAGGCTCCGCCTGTAGCAGGGGATCAACACCGAGGAGTCCCGGCTCCGCCTGTAGCAGATCAGTACCGAGGAGTCCCGGCTCCGCCTGTAGCAGGGGGTCAGCGCCGAGGAGTCCCGGCTCCGCCTGTAGCAGGGGATCAGCGCCGAGGAGTCCCGGCTCCGCCTGTAGCAGGAAACTCACACAGGTCAACTTTCTACTACAAACACACAGGAACGATGAGCATAAAACTTCTTTAAGATTCTGCTCAGAAACCTAGGAGAGCTATCACACACGGTGAGGTCATCAAGCCACCGAGATCATGAGATGAAACCAGAGGCAAACCTGCTGTTTGTCACAGCAATGTGCCATGAAGAATTTGCTGATTCTTCAGAAAAACCTAAAAGCTGAGAAGTTGTTATTTGTAGACAATGACGGGAGAAAAATCCGAGAGAAGAGAAACAAGGAGAAACCAGCAGCCCTCTCCCCGGCTTCTCGTCTGAGGCCGGGACTCTGCCCCCCACCGTGGGAGCCTCTGGGCCCAGCCCCGAGGGGGCCCCAGCAGCCAAGCCAGACCACGCTGGTGGCCCCAGGACCCAGGCGAGCTCACGGGAGACTCAGGAAGAGCCAGGAGGACTCCCCCATGAAGACTGGCGTGCAGGGCAGTGGGCAGAACAGGGCTGTGAAACAGAGCTGGGTCCGACCCTGAGCCATCGCTCGCTCGGGTGAGGACCTCGGCCTGTCTCCTCTTGTGCGGGAAGGGCAGCGACCCTCACGGAGCCGGGAACGGTGTCTAAGCTCGCACACGTGACTCATGGGAAGCAGCTGCCGTGTGTTTGCTGCCCTGGCTTTGCGGGCACCTGAGCAGGGGCTCCGGCCCCAGGAGGCCCCTTCCTCTTCCTCACTGACTGGTGAGTCCTACTGCAGTAGTGAGCGAGCCGGATCCGCCCTCTCGGTCTCTCTGGATCTGCCTCCGCCATACAGTGCCCTCTGCCAGGCTCCGAGCCCCTGCCCCGCGGAAGGCCTGCAGGCGAGCCTGGCTGAGTGCTCACGACTGCCTGGAGGACAGAATGGTCAGCAAACCGGCCTTCCCTTTCGGGTGTGCACCTGGGTGGGCCTGGGGAAAGGTCTGCGGTGTCATTCCAACCAGCCCTGCCCCGAGGCCGCGGCCGTCCTGCTCCTGGGCAGCGGGTGAGCCGGGCAGCCCTGCCCCGAGGCCGGGGGCGTCCTGCTCTTGGGCAGCGGGTGAGCCGGGCAGCCCTGCCCCGAGGCAGGGGCCGTCCTGCTCTTGGGCAGCGGGTGAGCGGGCAGCCCTGCCCCGAGGCCGGGGGCGTCCTGCTCTTGGGCAGCGGGTGAGCCGGGCAGCCCTGCCCCGAGGCCGGGGCCGTCCTGCTCTTGGGCAGCGGGTGAGCGGGCAGCCCTGCCCCGAGGCCGGGGGCGTCCTGCTCTTGGGCAGCGGGTGAGCCGGGCAGCCCTGCCCCGAGGCCGGGGACGTCCTGCTCCTCAGCAGCGGGTGAGCGGGCAGCCCTGCCCCGAGGCCGGGGGCCGTCCTGCTCCTGGGCAGCGGGCGAGCGGGCAGCCCTGCCCCGAGGCCGGGGGCCGTCCTGCTCCTGGGCAGCGGGTGAGCGGGCAGCCCTGCCCCGAGGCCGGGGCCGTCCTGCTCCTGGGCAGCGGGTGAGCGGGCAGCCCTGCCCCGAGGCCGGGGGACGTCCTGCTCCTGGGCAGCGGGCGAGCGGGCAGCCCTGCCCCGAGGCCGGGGGCGTCCTGCTCTTGGGCAGCGGGTGAGCGGGCAGCCCTGCCCCGAGGCTGGGGCCGTCCTGCTCTTGGGCAGTGGGTGAGCGGGCAGCCCTGCCCCGAGGCCGGGGCCGTCCTGCTCCTGGGCAGCGGGCGAGGGGGCAGCTCTGCCGAAAGCTCCCGCCTCAGCCAGCTCCATTTCCTCCTCCGAGAAAACGTCAGATACCAAGGCGACATGCACACGGGCCCACTCCTTCCCCGGAACGCGTGGCTGTGTTTTGTCTGAGGGCTGCGGTGGGGCCTGGGGTAAACATCAATCTGGCGGAGAACTCGCCACGGAGGAGCTCTGGCCGGTGGAGAAAGCAGCGTCAAAACATCGCGGACCAAGCGCCGTGATTCACGGGACGCCCGACGATCTGAGGGGAGAGAAGGTGGGCCCAGGACGTGAGCTCCTCTGCGCAGCCACCCGCCCCGTCCCAGTCCCTCGGTGGGCTGTGCTGGACGGGCGCCGCTCGGACAGTGTGCTGGTGGACTAGAGCTGGCCCCTGCGGGTGCATGCTGGCCCAGCACCAGCAGGTTCCCGTGCAGACCTGGCTGCTGGTGCCCGGGCTGGGCTGCCCCTAACCTGGGACGCTCGCCGTGGGGCCTTGTTTCCGGGACTCCAGGTGGCGTCCTCAGCCTCGCCTGTGCCCTGGTCGCAGGTGGTGTCGTCATCTGCATCGCCAGTTGTTTTCCCCTTTCCAGCACCCTCTGCACAATGCCCAGGCCCATGAGAGGACACGGGAGCGGCCCCTTCCCGGGAGACTCGACGCCCCTCACTCCCTGAATCCCAGCACCGGGGCTCCAGCCAGTGGGCTGCATGCTGCCTGCCGGGAGCAGCGGGGGAGGTTTGCAAACGCCCCTGCGGCAGGATGGCAGTTCCATGGTGCTGAAGTGTCCAGACCGACTGTCGGCCGGCGGCAGCGGCACCCGCCCGACCTCACGGGTGGGGTGCACTCCAGACTCACCAGCACAGGCCTGATCCCACAGCTCCGACACCGTCCCTCCCGCTGCTCACTGAGCACACCACACTGGGAGGCCGACCTCAGGTCCATGACATCCTTACAGTGTTTTTACTCTGTGCCTAAACCATCGGATCATGAGCTAGTATCCAAAGAGTATGAATCCACGTTTTGAATGAAAATGCCCTGAATGTATTCAATTAACTCATCCAAAAAATTCTACTGAAGTGTGGGAAATAGTATTCTCGAGGAACCTTGTCCACAAAGCAAACCCCGACAGATCAGTTCACGATCCTGGGTCTCCCATCCCTGCCAGAGACGGCCGGCCGTGACGGCTCAGCGACGCGTGTGCGCCGAGGAGCCCGGCCGCTCGCACATCGAGCGGGCTGGAGCCGAGGGGGCCCTGCCACGCTCACACTGGGAAACGGCCCTCAGAACCCCCTGGAGGCGGCTCCATTTCGATTAGTGTGCGACTCGGTTCATCTTCGAGGTGGTTTTATGTCACGTTTTACAATTATACCACGAACAGTGCCGCCCGCGTTCCCGCTCGTGCGCCATGCCCACTGATTTCCGACGAGAGGCACCCATCCCACACGGAACCGGACTGCCTGGCCGCAGCCAGCGGCACTCAAGGGGCCGGGGAGTCTTCGTAAAGGACCTCGTCCACCTTCGCGTCGTGTTCGTCCACTGGGACCTGCGGGCAGATCTGCTCCTTGAACGCCAGGGCCAGGGCGTAGGGCTTCCCGTGCTGGTGGCGCGCACAGCGCTCCAGGTAGGCGTCGTAGTAGCCCCCGCCCCGCCCCAAGCGGCGGCCGTGGCTGTCGAACCCGAGGCCCGGCACGAAGATGAGATCCAGTCCCCCTGAGGAAGAGAGGAGCAGAGGCCAGGGTGAATGGGTTTTGAGAGACGGACTACTTTGAACCCTGGGTTTTGGTTTTAACGACATCTGTTCTTTCTCTGACGTCTAAGGAAACACATGACCTCTCCAGAAGAATCCAGGAAGCACAGGGTAGGACACAGAAGGAAACGACTTGGCAGCGGAGTAAGCCCGCAGCTGCCTCTCCACTTCTGCATGTACCTGCACGAAATGTCAGAGCCCAGCCCCAGCCCCGCTCAGGAACTCTCCAGGGACAGGCCCAAGAACGTGTTTTCCTTCCTTTCTTCTTTTTCAGCATCAGGTGAGGCCACACTCCTCCCAGGTTGGGAAGCCAGGGCCCCAGGATCATGACTGGAGGTGAGGGACGGGGTCAGAAACGAGACGGGAGAGCGTCCCGGGGTCAGTGGGGAGGACTGAGCCACCTTGTCCAGCCCCTGCCCTGGAGGAGCCAGGCCAGCTTGGCAGGCTTCGGGCTCACGGACGCACGTGACAGCAGGTTTGGGCCCCTCGGGGACATGCCAAAGGTACAAGATTGAGGCCCCAACTGGTCCTCAGGCTGCAACCCCCCCGGGAGCACAGGGACCAGAACCGACCGTGGTGTCATCAGGACAGAGCAGACGGCTGGGGCTCAGGGTGGGGCAGGGTCTTGAGAGCTGTAACAACCCGACCACGGGGAGAGGTGTGGGCACCCCATGAAGAAGCAATGAAGGTCACAAGGTGGAGAACCTCCATGAAACCGGAGGCCCAGGAAGTGGTCCTCCCTCCTCTGGCAGGGAGGCTGATGGAACTCAGAGCCACGTCACGTGTCCAACCCAGGGGGGTCCCCACGGCTTCCTGTACTGGCCTGGGCCTCCTGAAGGCCGTGCTGGGGACTTCTGGGTGATGGACTCCTGCAGTGCTGCTGGCATGGATGCAGGGTGGGAAGCCATGAGTTCTCGGGGAGAGGGTGTTCTGAGTAGAAGTGGACCCCACTCTCAGCAGCGGTTCTGATTCCTGCCGAACAGTGAGATGAACTCACCTCCCAGCACACACCTGTCCACCCCACCTGCCAAACCCCAGCAGAGCATGTCTCAGGTCACAGTCATGACCTTCCACGTGAGCCTGCCGCCTCATTCCAACCCTGCCTGCTAAGAGGCCCTGGTCTCTGGCCCTTCCCTCCCCTCCCAGGCCCCCCTGCTCCTCTCTCGGGAGTAACAGCAGCCTGTGCGCTCAGCCTGCCCCTCCACGTCCTCTCCTGATGGACAGCACACGCGGGCCCAAGGTGCAGCTGACCTTTTCCTCGCCCTCCGGCCTCCCGAGAGTGTGACAGGTGGTTTGTGAAGTGCCGGGAGGGGAGGTTTGAAGGTCAGCTAACGTAGAACATTCACGTGCCACATCCCAGAGCAAGGCAGCCGGCCCTGCCTCCTGCTCAGAAGCCAGAGAGCCGGGAAGGGCTGAGTTTTCAGCAGAGGGAGAGCCTCTGGCTGTGGTCGGGGCAGGACTCGGGGGGACACCGACTTGACCTGGGTTTTAAGGATGTGTCTACACTGGGCCTGAGTATATTCCAGACGTCACGGGAGAGGTGGGAGGGGCAGAGTGTGAGACGGGAACAGGAGGGCAGGAGGACCAGGCTGGGCAGGGGTGGGAAACATGAGCTCATCAGACAGGGGCATGGAGATGTGGGAGTTCACGTCGAAAAGATCCCTACAGCTCAAGACCAAAAAAACAAATTAACCCAGTTTAAAAAGTGGACAAAGGACTTAAACACACATTTCTCCAAAAAATACCAAAAAAAAAAAGTCCAACGGGTGCTCAATGTCAGTGATCATCAGGAAAATGTAAGTCAACACCCCGATGAGACATCACCTCACCCGTTAGGAGGTCCACTAAAAAGAAAAAGGACAAGGAGACACTAGGACCTTGTACACTCTTGCGGGGGATATAAAACGGTGCAGCCGCTACAGAAAACAGTATGGAGGTTCCCCCCAAAATTAGAAATAGAACTACTAACAACCCCACTTCCAGGTATTTATCCAAAAGAACTGAAATCGGAGTTTTGAAGAGATGTGCGCACATCCATGTTCATAGCAGCAGTATTCACGATAGCCAAGAGGTGGAAACAACCTAAATGTCCATCGACGGGATACATGGATGGACAAGATGTGGTGCACACAATGGAATATTATTCAGCCATGAAAAAGAAGGCAATCCCGTCACATGCCACAGCATGGAAGAATCCTGAGCCCCGTGGGTTAGGTGACATGAGCCAGCTGCAGGGGAACGAACATGGCGCGCTCCACTGGCAGGGGTCTGAAGCACGGAGAACGGAGCGGTGGCTGCCGGGGCACACAATGGAATATTATTCAGCCATGAAAAAGAAGGCAATCCCGTCACATGCCACAGCATGGAAGAATCCTGAGCCCCGTGGGTTAGGTGACATGAGCCAGCTGCAGGGGAACAAACATGGCACGACGCCACTGGCAGGGGTCTGAAGCACGGAGAACGGAGCGGTGGCTGCCGGGGCTGGGTGCGGGGGAGGGAAAGCTGCCGTTCATGGGCACACGTTTCCCTCGCGCACGGTGCAAAGTGTGTCAGGGTTCTGCTGGACCGCACTGTGCGTAGTTGACAACACTATACTGTGAACTAAGAAATCTGTTAAAAGGGTAAATCCACGTGACGAGTTATTTACCACAACTGTTTTTTAAAGGCAAAGATACCCAAAGGAAAGCCAGGAGAACAGCCCGGATCTCGACCAGAGTCCCTACAGAAGGAAGGGAAGGTGGAATTCCAGAGCATCCGCGGAGGCAGCTGAAGGATGAGCAGGAAACAGAAGAGCACGGAAGTCAGGTCCTCCGATCCCTCAAGCCGGTCTCGCTCCCTCTGCGCGTTGCTCCTGCTCCTTGACGACAGCCGCCCCGAGTCTGCCTTGCACTGCAGCCGACGGTTTGTCTCCGTCTGCCGCTCCAGACAGAAATTTCCTTGACGACCGCTGCATGTCTAAGTCATCCGTCATGCTTGAACTATAGTAGCACTCTCGTCAAAGAAACCCTGAAAGGCGAGTCTATTACCTGCGCAGCGGATCGATCCTAGCGTGACATCCCTACTTTAAAAACTCCGAAGTACGTGGGCGACCTTACGGGACATGATGGAGACAGAGGTGTTACCTGTACCGCTGCCAGCTCCAAGGGAGCTCGACAATTGTCAGGCACAGAGGAGAATGACTCTGGGATTCTCAGGCGGCAAAAGGCTCTGAAATGGCACTTCGTAGGCAGGGGTCCTGACACCCTATTTGGGGTGTTGCTATTGGACCCCAACCCATAGGACTGCTGTTCCACACAGCGGACCTGCTGCCCGGGCTTCGGTTCGAACCCTCTCGTGGCTGCTGCTGCTACTTCGTACACCTCCTGAGACACGTGGGCATTCCCTGCCGACTCCGTCAACTTGCTGTCACCCTGCAGTTCTCCCTGTGCCCCCACCATCACCACACAGGTGTCCCACCGCCTCCCCACGTACACACACCCGGGGCTCCGCTTCCTTTCGTAAAGGCACTGGGTGCTTTCCCGACCCACAGGCGATGGGCCAACGGGGCTTGAAAATCACGTGCAGGCTTAGCAAGCTCTCGGTGCACATGCTGGCCGCACCTGGGCCATCCCTGCTGACAGAGGCTGCCTCAAGACCCTTTGAATGCACTGCAAAGTCAAAACTCGGCTGGGGGACAGAAAACCCTGGGCCACGCACGTCTTCTTACAAGTTGCCAGCGTGGCTCAATTTTCATCACCAAAGGCTCACTAGGAGAGGACGCGGACACTCGCACAGGCAAGGGCAGCCCACCCACTGTCAGGCCTGTGTGCACCTGCTTCCCAGGCCAGGGGCCCCCGCTGCAGCAGGACTGCACCCCGAGTTCCCGTGTGCTCTCCACAAGGCCCAGGCTGTTCTGCAGAGTCATGGTGTGCCGGGTGCTCTCCCCAGGCCCTGCTGGCTTTCCAACGTGATTCTGCATTCCCAAACTGCCAAGGCTCCCCCAAAACTCGCCCAGCCCCACGCAGTCAGCTCAAACACCTTGCCTTTTCCGTCAGCGCTGGCTCTGGAGCACCAGCGCCCTCTGGCGGCCGTCCAGTGTGCTGGGCAGGGCCCTGGGGCTATTTCCGAGATGCAGCCAGGTGCCAGCCCCCCTTCCTGCTTCCACCTTCTCATTCGCAAGACCCAGCTCCTGCAGTGCCCACTTCACAAGGCCGGTCACAATCTTACAGAGAGCGTCCACGTCCTCACCTGGGGTGCGGGCCCTGCAGTCTAGCCCAATCACCTCTCCAACGTCGCGCACATCACTTCACAAGGCCGGTCACACTCTCACAGAGAGCGTCCACGTCTTCACCTGGGGTGCGGGCCCTGCAGTCCAGCCCAATCACCTCTCCAACGTCGCGCACATCACTCTCGGGTAATCCCCGCGAGACAGTCAGATGCACTGTCCCCCACACACACCCCGGGACCCCGGCTGCAGTCCTTGCTCCGCTGTGCTGCTCCCCATGCCTGCGAGTTACCTCTGATCCTCACTAACCTCTCAGTTCCAGACTGTCACAACCCCAGACGTCAGCTCAGGGTCCGCCTCACCCTCCCTACCCCTGCAATTTGGTGTGAACGGCTCTTCTCAGACACCTCGAGAATACCCACCATCCATTACAGAGGAGGCCTTTCCCTGCCTTCTGGGAACAGAGCTGTACTGAGCTCAGGTCTATTTACTAGAAAAAAGAATGAGATTAAAAACCAAATGAACCTCGACCATTTTATCTTATTCCCTGGCTACACCCACACAGTTACCTGTTCAGACCCCCTGCAACACCTGACTCCTATCCAGAGTCTGGGAGGGAACAGAAACGCACATCTGTGGGCGCCTACACTGCTCCAGGCGCCCTCAGTACCCTGGGGACAGAGGGGTGAGTAACATCAGCTGGTCAGCACACCCACCTGGTGAGGCTGGACCGCGGGGTTCTCACCCCATCTCACAGGT